TTATGTACTTATGTATTGATATACACCTTCTTCCCATTCGTAGCTGCTGTCAGAGCACGTGCTATCATTGCACTCGCGGAGTTGTGCAGATAGGTCCCAGAGCATCGCAGGTGGATCGCAACAGTCTGGGCACGCGGACGAAGATCAGACAGACATCCCCCTCAAGCAACGGCTCAAAAAGAGGTCTGGTGAAGATATCGACCATATCCCTGGTATTTTGCAATGATTTTTTTTTTTACTGTTCTTTCCTCACTGATTGCCTTTTTCACTGGTGGGTATCTACGGAATTTTCGGCACAATCTAGTTGGCACGCACGCAGCTGAAACTGCGGTCTCACCGTAGATTCACTATCACTGCTATTTTTTTTCGTACGAGATGAATATCAGTTACTGCTTATGCCCCTCGTGTGTGGGACTCACATAGTCTGGGGAAGCAGTGATAAACAAAGCTGCGTGTAATAGATATGCTCATGTTTGTCATTGTACTTTATTCAATTCCGGCGGTTGAATGGTTGTGTACGTTTTGAGAAGGATGGGTATTCATATGACTATATCATGTGATTAAAGATATGCATACCATATACAAGCATACTTGTCTTCAATTGTAACCTTATATAGTTCGGACGTATCGATTTTCTGAACAATAATCTTACATACGCTGATACAATACTGCTTGCTTCCAATCCTACCAGCTGCATTGTTGCGTAAGTATGTTGCTTATGCTCGCCAGTTTGTAGAGCCCACGCTGAGTCCCGAAGCGTGCGCCGAACTGAAAGCTTTCTACATAGGACTACGGGAAAGCCACCAGAGCGTTGAAAATACACCTATTACCACGCGACAACTAGAATCGGTGTGTACAACTAGCCGAATCGATGAGAACACCTTTATATATCGGATGCTCTCCATGTTGTACGTGATCTTTGGCCAACTCAGCACACACAGTAGGACCCACTGGGCTTTGCAGACCTTTAATGGGCGGATTATTAATATTACACTACTCAGCTAATTAGACTGTCTGAAGCCAGGGCACGTTCTGAACTGAGAGAGGTCGTCACCAAAGATGACGCTCTCGATGCTATAGAGGTAAGACACAGACACGTGAAGGACTTCGAAAATACACCGTTAAGCTGTTCGTATCGTGCACTGTGCACAGTGGTAGTCAATTAGGGATTTGCGGTCTTGATTCCCTCCATCATAGTAATTTCAAGGGCGTATCCGCAATTTTTGACGATATACTGATCATGATGCTTGTATGGCAACGCGTTGAGTTCGTTCTTTCTTGACTGACACGACTCAATAATACCTGATTTTCGAGGCTGAGCGAATTAGATTTAAAAATTGAGTTTTATCACGGCCGTATATCTGTACGATGCACAATACATGTGTGAGTATAACCATAGGATGGCGCACGATCGTTGCCAACATTGTCGTCCAGGGTTGTTATGCATGTAGAAAATTCTGTCATGATGGTACTTGGCAGAGGTCGAAACAGCAGGTCGAAACAGCAGGTCGAAACAGCGGATGCGTACAGTGTGTCGAACACAACTCAAGTATAGACATCATTGGGCACGTATGGTATCGAAATAGCTCGTGTCTCTCATCAACTACTACTTGCTACTGTTGGTCACTGGCATATAACCGGCACGCTCAGAATAAGAACACACATGTGTGCAATATGCATTTCATATCCAACATGTTTCTTACCAATTACTTTCACATGACACGGCATCAACTTTATTCACCATCCGATGGTTATATTTATAGATTATGCGCCACAGCTTGTTTGATGGCGCAGGCATGGGAGACGACATTGGTCTCGGCATGCATCAGACTACTAGTAGTACAAGCATGGCCGCTGCCAGCAAGAGTGCACAGCGCAAAAAGTAAGGGAAACTCTCACACTCTGTAGTAGTGTCTTGCTTGGTTCTCGTGTGGTACACACATACAGCTGACGGTTGCCTTCGCTATAGCTCTTCACTCGTGTTTCTCGTGAGCAGATTGCGTATTGCGAACGGTAGTGGTGAAATATGCTTTGTCCCTTTTTAAAACGTAAAACTATGTTTGTGGTTATGCTTAGAATTGTACTTAATTGGAACCTACTTCAATAACCGAACACAGGCTGGTTGCACATCTCACGCAAGTGGCACACACAGCGCAAAACGCCCTGTTTACGATTCAGCAATTGCGGAGTATCTGCGGCGAAATCGGGCTGTCAATGCACATATTCGATGAAACAATCGATGCCCTTAACAGTCAAGGGTTTCTGCTGAAGAAGGGCGCTCGAGTATATGAGATCGCCTGCATGTGATGCCGCGCAAGTATACGTGATCAATACAAAGGAGGAAATAAAACGTGTAAACAAGAATATTCATTGGGTAGAAGTGCCGCTATTTGTATCACTCAGTTCATACCTGATTTCGATAAGACATCTAACGATCTCCAAGAAAAAGCAGACGGATGCAAAGTATATATACATACATAAGTATGCACGTACCTATGTATTATACATATAGATATGTGCTATGAACAAGTGTATATAGGTACTATATAACAATACACACATACACATGTATATACATACATACACACACACACACAC